GAAGGATTCTCAAATCCAGTGTTGGTGGGATTTCAAATGAATCCCGGGATTTGAAATCCGACCATTTCTACAAACCAAACGTAGGATTGGAATGGATTTCAATTCCAAATCCCTCCAAATCCCTCAAACCAAACGCGCCCTAAGTCTATAACAATGGATTGATTTGACTCCGTCGGTTTGTTCATGTATTTGGGCATGAAAGCTTGTGGATAAACTAAGCTTCTGCCTGTTTAGCATTATCTTGAATAAGGGCTCGTTTACCGAACTCTTACTGGGTAAGCGCCTATCGGCTATCGCTTACCTTACCAGTAAGCATGACAAGGACCAAGAATCTTACCCAGTAAGAGGCATAACAAGGACCAACAATTTACCCGGTAAGCGCTTACCGGGTAAAAGATGCTTACCACAATCCATTTTGATGGCTAGAATGTTACCTAACAAGGTAAGTGAACGGTGATAAGTGTTTGATAAGTCAGAGGAACCGTCCAAATTTCCTTTATGAAGTGATTAAGTAATTGGTTTAACGAGTATGAACAGATGACTATGTATCAACTTGTCTTTACTTGTCGTTTTTCATTATTATCTTAAACATTTCTTTTTGATCTCCAGTATACCCACTTTCTCTTAAATTTCTGCACATGGTTTAGCATATTGTTCTAATCATTGATGTATGCTTTATTTATGCAGAACTTTGATGACGTCCTGGTACCTGCTGATCATGTAAGTAGGAGTTTCAATGATACATACTACATCGATGCAGGAACCGTCTTGAGGTGCCACACTAGTGCCCATCAGGCTGATTTACTAAGGAAGGGGTACGCCAATTTTCTTGTTACCGGTGATGTTTATCGTAGAGACTCCATTGATTCAACTCATTACCCTGTATTCCATCAGGTATCTTACTCTTTTCTGAAGCAAGTATCATTTTACATCAATTATGCAGGTTATAATCCATGTACATGAGAGTGTGCAGATGGAGGGAGTTAGAGTCTTCAATCCAAGCGATTGGAATGATTCTGGCATGGATGGCACTTTATATGCTGCAAACGATCTAAAAGCATGTCTCGAGGGTTTGGCACGTCACCTATTTGGTAAGAGATTTAGTGTTCGAGTTTTTTCCAATGCGATAATGGTTATTAAGTCATTTATCTTTGTTAAGTTGAAATAGAAGTAACTAAAAAAGAGTGAACATTTGGTCCATGATGTATGCAATAAAGGTATATAGTTCTTACTCTATTCGTTTCAAAATAAACACAATAATTCCCTTTTTTGGCGAAGTTTCAATCCATGGTTACTTCTTTGTTGATTGGTGATTATTACAAAAATATTGATGGCATATATTTTTTCCACCAAATTCCTTTATCTTATCAATTGAGGGATACTTCAGATATTTGATAAATAGTCAAAAACTTGCACTAAACAATGTTCCCCATCAACCGTTTGCATGTACTTTGGGATGGAAGGATTATGAATAAGAGAGACGCAAATATTATTTCTTTTAAAGCAGACAAATGGTCATAAACCAAGAACCACTGTAGTATGATAGTATTTGATACAATTGATTTGCAGTGGTGTTGGTGGTAGTAATTTGATCACGTATACAATTATGAGCTGCATATACTTTTGAGCGATTCGCCATTTAAAATCATTGAAATATTCAGGTGCTGTCGAAATGCGTTGGGTTGACTCTTATTTTCCATTTACAAATCCATCATTTGAACTTGAGATATATTTCCAGGTAAAATAATTTCTTGAACGTTGTAATTTAAATTTCCGATTCTACCCTTATTTATGACACACAAATGTTGATGAGATGACACTATTGTCATCAAAATGTGTAATAATTATCTGGGTAAAATTGTCATTCAGTTAATTAAAAAATGTAACAATTATACATTTCTAGAACTATGTTTCTTTATTGTGAACATTTATTTTAGGACAGATGGAGTATTTGCCCATGGATAATGCAAGATAAATGACATTGATTTTGGTTCCAAAAACTTTTATTTCCTCGTCATTGAGGAGACTTAGATGTTCAACGAACGGTCAAATTGTTATTTTAAACATGTGTGTGGTCAAATGTTACAACGGGACTCAAAGTAGCTTGTGTAAAAGAAGCTTCTAGAATATGTTTCCAAATTTATATGTACAAAGATATCCTCTACCTTTGCAAAACCGATGAGCCATGGTGCACCATGACCACCCTTTTGTTATTTTCAAACTGAAAGTGTTGAAGAAATGTGTAGTTTTTTTATTTTCATTTAACAAATTGTGGATGATTTTTCTTCAGGAGAAGTGGTTGGAAGTTCTTGGTTGTGGGGTGATGGAACAAGAAATACTAAATCGGGGTGGCAAGACTGACAATGTGGCTTGGGCATTTGGGCTTGGATTGGAACGTTTAGCAATGGTCTTGTTTGACATCCCTGATATTAGACTCTTCTGGTCTACCGATAAGCGATTCGTGTCTCAGGTAATTTACTGGTCTTGATTGCTTTGTTAGATGGGTGTCTTGTGAAGAACCTTTAGTTTTTGATGGATAAGAAATGGAAGATGTCTTTTTGCTTTCTCTCTCATGAATATAGTAGTAATGCTTACAAAGAACCTAAATCTAATTTTTAATGATCTCCCCTTATTGATGCAGTTTACCAAAGGTCAACTTGGGATAAAATTCAAACCATTTTCAAAGGTATGAACCGACTTCTTTGTGAACACAGTTTGCCAAAGGTTGACTTGAAATATACCATTGTGCTATCTTCATATATATATATATATATATATATATATGTATGTATAGAGAGAGAGAGAGAGGGGGGGGGGGGAGGTTCAGGGGAAAACCCCCAAAAAAAATGAAAAACCGAGGAACACCCTAGTAATCATTCATCTGGATGGTATGCACATGTGCATACAAGTGATTGAAGCTGATTCTTGGTTCTTATGCAAATGTGCATGTTATGCACATGTGCATACCGGACAAATTGCTTACTAGTTACTTGTATGAACATGTGCATACCGTCTAGATTAACGGTTACTAGAGTGCTCCTCAATTTTTCACTTTTTGGCAATTTTCCCTTTTTCCTGACCCTATATATACAGGGGAGACATCAAATGCAAACCAAGCCATTTCTACGAACCATCGATTTCATTGTTTAATTTAATGAAATTGTTTAATACTATGAAATTGTTTCATATAATTCTTTTCTTGATGAAATTGTTTCATGTGTTTCTCATGCTGATGAAATTTGTTTTCTAAAATTAATATAATGAAGATGATAATGTCCATAATTAATGCCCTTCATAATAAAAATGACTAATCAATCCTCATAATTAAAAAGTGAAAGAAGAAAAAGAAAACTTATAATTGGTTGAATGAGGTTTGTACGGCTTGTACAAATGGTTTAGTTTGCATTTGATCCCTCTCTTATATATATGTGCAACTTTGAGGGCTAGCTCAACTGGAAAATAAAGGCTTAGTCTTGAGGCTCATCCCCGTAGATCGCTAATTTGAGTCTCCTCAAGGCCATTGGATTTTCTTGGCTGTTATTTTTCGGGGTCTCATGGGATTAGTTGAGGTGTGCTCCGCCTCCAAAATAAATGTCCATAATAAAAAAGGCACACAATTTTAGAAATGTGTAATTATTACACCTTACAATTAAGTAAATGACAATGTTATCCTTCATAATAGCAGAAAAAATGTATCTCTTCATTTCATAATTAATTGTGGAAATGGAAAGTAGACAGTTATTTTTTGAAGTGGATACTTATTTGGGGATGGAGGGAGTAGTATGTGTGAAACCTTGGATGGGCCTTTGGTTCTATATATCAAAGAAATTATAGAGAATTTGTTGGAGATGCTCTAAGATACAAACCTTGGATGCGCCTACATGGGGATCGGGAATGCCTCCATTTCGTCATGTGGGATATTGGATCACCGAGATGGCAAACACCCTTTTTCCCTCTCTTTAAATGGCAAGAACAAATCTTTGCTTTTTTAGCTGTGACTTTCTCAGAAACTTCTTGAAACCTCCGGTACCTTCGTGCATTCGTTTTCATACTTTTGTATTTTGAGAGTAATAATTTAATGTGATTAACTTATGAACATATATATTATTTGCAGTATCCACCTTGTTATAAAGACGTGAGCTTCTGGATCAATGATTCATTCAGTGAAAATAATCTTTGTGAAATTGTTAGAGGCATCGCTGGTGATCTTGCCGAGGAGGTATGACTCATTTCATTGTTTTAAATTCATTAGACACGGGTTTAAAAATCATAAGAATTCTTGATCATATAGCATTTTGAATGTAGTTTCTTAATAAATAACACCTTGTTCTAACCTAGATTGATTAGAAAGGAACACTTTGTTTGTATGTTTTCGAGAGAACCACATAAGTAGTATGTCTTAAAAATGAATGAAATATCAATCCTTCATGTACTACAGTACTAGGGCTCGTTGGTTGGTTGTGCGAATATACAATATTTGCCATCCATTTTTCAAATCGACTTTTCATGCTCAAGCCCATGTCCCTACATAACCTTCTCTGAAAAGGGTCTGACCCCACATGGATAGAAAATTAGATTTCTGAGCTCCTTTTAATGTCAAAGTTATGGGATACTAATAACTTCCATCATGGTGTTAAGTAAATTTGGCATTTATTGGGCCCGCTTGCTGCTTTGGACTATGGGGCTTAACAGTCACCTACCGTATTGGTCCCATGGCCATTATGGGTGACTTGTAGGGGCAAGTGGGTGGTGACTGAAGTCGAACCCTAGTCCTTACACTGATTTTATAAGGATATCCACCTCTTTACATGTTATGCTAAAGTTTGGCACAGTTGGACCTTCCTTAATGGTGCAAAGTGATATGATTTTGTATATTGAACATTTAGGTACAATTGATTGACAACTTCACCAACAAGAAAGGAATGACTAGTCATTGCTATAGGATCACATACCGCTCCATGGAGCGCTCTCTTACAGACGAGGAAATAAACGAGCTACAGGTATCTTCTCATTTGGAAAATCAAAGGCATTCCAATTTTATTTCTAGATCCTCTTTCACAAGTTAGGGGTATTCATAGAAACAACTGCTCTATCCTTTGGGGGGAAGAGGTCAGGTCTGTATACATCACACCCCTGATCCCACCTCAAGCAGGGATATACTGAGTTCATTTGGTTTGCGTTTTTCTTGTTAGTATTTCGGTTTCATGTGGCAATCCAACTCGTTTTTAGCATGAATCAAAATTTTATGTTTGTTTGATGTTGATGCAGTGGAATGTTCGAGATCAGGTGCAAAGTCAGCTGAATGTTGTTATGAGATGATTTTCGATGCAATTTTGTTGGTAGCGCATTTATGTTCTTTGTCGATTGATGAAAGTCATTCAAAAATTGCATACTTTCAATTTCGGTATGTGTAACCCTAGTCTTTTGTTTCAATCCTCCTAATATTTACGACATAATTACTCCAGATGTCTCAAAATAAGAGTCTACATTTCCCACTTTCAAAAGTAAATATATACTTTCTAATCACACTAAATTATGGCATGAAAAAAGTTCATTACTCCTAATATTATTAAGAGTAAAAATTGTTATTTAGTTAATTAAACTATAAAAACTATTTTATTATATTTGCACATTTATAGTTAGCCTGATCATCATTTACATTGACAAAATGTTATACCATTAAAATTTGTTTTGAGCATAAAAAGGGATATCCGTTAAATTTTGAACGGTGTTGTAGGATATTAGAAAATACAAGGAACATCAACAAGAAAAATCTCTCGAAATCAACAAAAAGAACCCATTCAACTAAAAAACATAAAAAAATCCCATGAAACAGTGGAATTCGGCTAAAAATATATGACAACTTTACAAGCCTTTGATCCGCTTTAAATTAGACATAAACAATCTGGCCAACATTCAGAAGGCTCTCGCGAGGAACATTAAGGATGATACTTTGCTCTCTGCATATCTTCCTCAAAAATGCATACAAGTAATTAATACATATCTTCTTATAAATCCCTGAATCCCTCCTTGCTTCCACAATTGTATTTCCCATTATGTGCACCACCCCGGCATCCCGACAACTCTTCAAAAACGCCATCTCGTCCGCCCCCACCTCGCTACTAACCGACGACTCACTCCATGAAGAAACCGTGATATCAACAACAGATGAAAACGTGTCCTTAGTAGAACTAATGGTTTCTTGCCCGTATAAGCTGTACTCATCCGAATCAGAGCTTGCATCCATCAACGACTCTAGTTTTGCAAACAGGAAGACGCTATCGAGCAGTTTCTTCTCAAACTCGTCGTCTTTCTTGTGATCTTTGTATCCGTACCTTGCAACACACCTAAATATACGGGCAAAATACACAAAATAACAATTACTTTTATAAATTTCTTTATTATAGCATTGTACTTCCGGTTTTTCTTATTACAACAATGTACTTTCAAACTATTTTTTTATTAGAACATTGTACTTTGAAAAATTTACCCATTATAGCATTGGGTAACCTTTTGATTTAAATTTACCCATTATACTAGGTTTCCATGCCACGTCATTGTCCACGTAGGCTGTCCACATGTACTATAGTGATGTGATTTTCTTATTACAACATTGTACTTTTAAAATTATTTTATTATAGCATCTACTAGTTCTTATTAAACTATGTACTTTTAATTTTAATATTTAGATATTTTACATGTTATTTAATAAATATATAAATAAATTAAAAAAATCTAAATTATTCATTAATATATCAATATTAATAAAACTAGTAGAAGACAACTTATCTCGCTAATATTGTTAAAAAAATATGTGTTCTTTGCAAAAAGAAATTACGAATTGTTTCTTTTTTACCAAAAAAATATTATCTTTTAAAGAATATATTATATTTGTTCAAAAACTTCTATTTGACGTATAAATATATTAAATTAATTAGATATTTTTGAATTATTTATTAATATAACAATATTAAAAAATTGTAAAACACAATATATTTCGTTAACATTTTAGAGAGAACTTTAAAAGATATGTATTTTTTTTAACAACATAAATTAAGAAGTGTTACATTTTTTACAAACAAAATATATCTAAAAAATAATGTAGCATATTTATTTAAGAAATATTTTACTCTAGAATATTTAATTTGTATACAACTTAGTAAAAAAAGTCAAAATTAAATGTTCTTTTAAATCATAGCAATAAAAAATGAAAATCACTAATAATAATTTGAAATAAGTTTTTATTTTTATTTTAGTTAAATCATCAAAATGATGTGTCATCCACATCACCTCATTAAAACCACACAAGCAAAAAAAGTCAAGGGGTTAACCGGTTTAAAAGGTAACAAATTACCCATTGCTATAATAGGTAGATATTTTAAAGTACGATGGCTTAATAAAAAATAATTTGAAAGTACATTGCTGTAATAAAGAAAAACAAAAGTAGAATGCTATAATAAGAAAATTTATGAAAGTAAGTTGCTATTTCATGCATTTAACCACAGAATTATTAACAAATCAAACGGAACAAGTAAATCCAAAGCAAAAGTAGGGTCTTGCCCCAAGGGGTAACAAATATGGCTTTATGTAACACCAAAAATGTTTAAATATCCTAAAACTATTTTACAAGACTTAAGTTTATAGGATCAAACAATATTACACCACACCCTATGAAAAAGTATTACCATTAGTTCATATGACTTTTTTGGACATCCTAATAAGTTTTTTTAGAACACTTTTGGAATAAAGTGTCATATTAGCTCTTTTAACAAGACACTTTTTTATAAGACACGGTCAAATGATGTCATATAAAGCCTAAAAAACTATTACGACGTCCAAATACGTCCTAATCAACTTAATGTAACACTCTTACATATGAGGCATAATTGTTTGATCCTATAAATTCAAGTCTTGCAAAGAAGTCTATTAAGACAATTTAACGATATTTAATGTCTCATAAAGCTAATTTTGTTGTAGTGGTTTCCGTGAAGACCCGTGGCTCGCGAAAGAATAAATAAAAGAACAAGTGAGCAAGCGTGATGTGAGAATGCGTACAAACAAGCAAACAAAAAAAAGGTACCTGAACATATGATAATTCTTCGGCCCGAGTCGTTTCACCAAGAATCTTTCCTCTTCAGGGACTGTGTAAACCGGAAGGGACTTGATGCACACCAAGACGACTACGGAATGGATGGCCGGTAGATTGGTGATGAAATGCGAAAAGATTCGTGGGACCCCACTTACTAGCTCCGAGTACACGAGTCCTATCCCAGGAACACGGACGAGCCCCAAGCTTGGACCAAGATTAAGAATCCATGCCAACGAGATCTTACTTTGCATCTCTAACTCATACCTTTTCACTGTGCCGTAATGCCATACATGCATGATGACAAGAAACACAACTGCAATCGCAAGAGGGACCCATGCTCCCTGATCGATCTTGCAGAGGACTGCCGAGAAATAAGTGCATTCCACCACCAGCGATAAGATTGTGAAGATGAGGACGAGTATCCAGTGACAACGCCATACTAGTAGCATGATTAATATCATCAGGAGGGTCGTCACCAGCATGACTACAACAACTGCCGTGCCTGTGATCAATACACGGTTTTTTAACTTTAAAACTGATACGGAACCTATAGTAAAATTCAATAAGTTGAAGATGTAACCCTCCCTGTGGCTTTACCCTAGCAGATAAGGAGGTGGGCATCCTTGCAGTCTGAGTGGATGGTCTGAGGTTCAAGTCCAGGTACCACTCACCTGCCCCCTAGGACATGCGATTTACCCCCCCACCCCCCCACCCCGCCCCCGGTATGGTGGGGGCTCTCCAGAGGTTGGTGTTAGGGTGGTGTTATAAGGCACATAACATGCAACTGAGGATTCAAACCAGTTTACGTTATGCTATAATGATGTCCTTGTTATAATATATTCCTCCGGTCTATGCTGTTAATTGCGGCAATATATCGGATAACAAACATTAGTTATTAGCAAAATAACGGTGGTCAGATTGCTGTTTAAATTGCGGTAGCACAATTATCGCCGCAATTTTGACCGATATTTAGGATCAATTCCGCTCTATATTAATGTTACTTTTTTTTTGGGGGGGGGGGGGGTTGGGCTTTACTTTTTTGGGGGTTCCAACCGACATTGAGCTGCAAAAGTTTGTGGATGCAAGAGATGGCCTCATTTGGTCAGAAGTACGAGAAGCAATGGGAGGTAATGAACAAGTTGGGCCAAGTACAAGAAGTAAAAGGGAGCGCTATAGGGAGGATGATGTCACATTGGAGATGAAGGGGGAGAAGGGGAAGAGTGGGAAGCTAGCCTAAACGAAAAAGTGAACTTATTAGATGATGTTGACTCAGATGCTGTACCTATTGCTTGCGATTAGCTCGTTTATGAACACTTTTCCTATTTTGCAAATGATATGTTTATGTAGGCATATTATACATATAATTATATATAATTCTAAGAAATATTATATGAACCGCTATTTTTGGACCGCTATACCTCTGCTATAACCGCTTCCGACCGCAATTTTGTATTTTCACCGCTATAACAACATAGCCTCCAGTTCCCTATTAATTGTCATACTTTCACTTTGCATCCCAAACAAACTACTTTCAATTTGGGAACTGATATCGACAAATCAAATATATTGGAAAGCACAAGTACATGAATAGGAAAAGGAATTAATCTTCATTGATAAAATCTGGAGTCTATAAAGAAATCTATGGATTGGAACTCTTAGTTCTCATTCCTTATCCCTCAAATTTCTATCTTTAGGATGCGCCATCTCATAGAACTAAATGAAAGTTTGCAAAACTCGATACCTTCATCATTAACAGAAAAACCCTATATATAGGGTATGTACAAAGAAACCCTATCGGCTATAATTAATGATAAATATAAATCAAATCCGTAATTATCTCTAACTAATATAATCGTAATTATCTCTAACTAATATAATCGTAATTATCTCTAACGAATATAATCGTAATTATCTCTAACGAATATAATCAACCGGCTAAGACTAAAAATAGCGCATTTTGATGAGCAAGAAGCTTCGAGAAAACTGGTGTTTTCTAAATTATAGGAATCTAAGGAAGGATCCCAAAGGATTGATCTTTCTTTTAGTTGTTGAATCTCTCTTTTCTGGGCAAAAAACAAGTTTGAAGTTCAAAAGTCAAATGATTAGAACTATAGAGAACAGAAGGAATACCTTTTCCATGACAAATGTTTCCCAGCCCTAAATCTCGTCGATTATAATTACAAGGCCTCTCCTAATGTCTTGGAAGTAACCTCCACCACCATGAATCCCGGATGGATTTCTAGCATGGTATACTTTTAAAATTTTCGGTGCAACAGGTACTCCCTTTCCAATTTAAGGGGTGTTTGGATGCGCTCTCTGAAAGTGATTATGTGAAATTGAATAATCAAAATCAGAGTAATAGAGCATGGTGTAGGAGATAACAATGGATGCGTTCTACTGCTTGAAGTTTAATAATCACTTTTGAAGGTGTTGAGGAAGTAAATAGATAAAACAAGGGTATACAAGTAGGAACAAATTCATTTAGTAACCGCGAATATTTTGAAAATGGAAACAACTAATCATGATGAATATCGTGATAGATTTTCATGATAATTATCATGAACAATGAATATTTTAGGTTATTCATTGTGAGTAATTCATGAAATAGTTGGTTCCCCACTTCCCAAAGGCAGTTATAGTTCTCATTTGAACTTTCCACTATACAAATAACTATAACCTACCTTCTTATGATCATTTTTGTTGCAGCTAGTATGAATCTCATTATTCAAACTTGATTTAATTCTCCCTCAATAATCAGATAGTAGGTTCCCAAAACTATAGGAACTGATTGTTTTGACTTAAAGTCGCAACCACATCCAAATACCCCCATAAGAACCCTCACGAACAAATGGACACTCTACTAAAAAGTCAATACTCATAAGATCAATTGGTTCAGCAAAAGTAAACCTATGTGGAAGTTATTTATTGTAACAAAGCATACTTACCATAAGCATTACCAATTTGACTCTGATTTTGGAATCTAGTTGTTACAAGAATGCAAAGAATCATAAGGGTCCAATTGATATCTGGAACGTATATCTGCCCAAGAAACTTCCTTGATGTATGAACTACCTTCACTCGGGGGAAACAGTCAAGGGCACATGCCTGATCAATTATTGAAAATGTAGCAGATATAGAAGCCTGACTTGCGACAATGGCAGCTAATGTTGCGATAACAAACATTGGCCAGTATATACCTTCTGCAACATTTATAATGATTTATGTTACTTTAATATTTCAAGATCATTTACAATAACATAACTCTTTTCAGCCATAAGTAGTTGGGATACCAGTCATTTCAAGTATAATACTAGTTGGCTTCCGGTGCATTGTGGTTGTTACAGACTATCTTCTAAATGGTTAGAAGCCATAAATATACACATTATGATCATAAAGTCGTGAATAAGTGTGTACATAAAACCAAACCGAACTAACTGACCAAGTATACCCCACTCGAAAAATAGGGTATGGGGTCAAATCTAAACAGACATGTCCTCTACCCCACCGGGTGGAGTGGCTATTCCTGTAAAGACCCCGACTTGTTCAAGAGTGTGAGCAAAAAGTAAGAAGAACAAAGACAAGCAAATAGCAAGCAACATAAAGAAGAAACGGGAGTAAGAAATAGTAATGAGTAGGTACGTTGAAACATAGACAAGGTAAGGCAAAATACACATAGAAAACGTAAGGCCATGCAAAAACATACATCCCTCTATCCATCATAGGATTCCGATAACCTAATTGCCATCTCTCTACTCCCCCTCCTCCGTCCAACCGTCAACCCTCAGCCACTCCAACTCCTTTCTTGTCCCGTCCACGCTAGCTACAGGTTCAAAAAGGCCAAACCTAGTCTGCTACCAAACTCCTGCTTCTCCAAAAATTCCTATTGGAGGTCATGTCCTAAAACATGTCCAAGGCTTTCATGGCTATCCTCAATTGCTCATCCCAAGTCCTCATCGCCCCCTTGACCGTCACGTTTTCTAACCTCTGGTGCCGCTACCAGTCTCCAGCAAACGTGCTCAAACTACTGCAATCTTCTCTTTCTCAATTTATTAGTGTCAGGCGGAACTCCGAACACCACCCGGCGGCAGGCCTCATTCAGTATCTTGTCTAACATGGCCCACCATAACTCCACTTAGGTATCCTCATTTGTGCAACTTCCTTTCATGAGCCTTCCTTGTTGCACACATGCATATCCTACTGATGAATGGTTATTAGAGTGTTCCTCAGTTTTTCAATTTTTTGGGGGTTTCCTTGAACACCCCCCTCTCTATCTCTATCTCTATCTCTCTCTCTCTCTCTCTCTCTCTCTATATATATATATATATATATATATATATAGTCAGAGTCAAACGAGAAGGCTGTTAATTTGCGAGAAGGCATGTGATACAAACACGTCGTGTTGACCGACCATTGTGTGGGTGACTTCTCTCGACACCTTCATCATGTTTAACCAAGTCGTCCATGCCCTTTGGACATGTTGTATCATGTGATTTTACTATGTAATCATATGTGATCTGAACCTTCTCACACTTCTTGCAAATTGACCGACTTCTCGCATGATCTTCCATATATATATAGAGAGAGAGAAAGGATCATGCAAGAAGTTAAACATTTTGCGAGAAGACAAGAAGTCTCAACATCATACATGATTACAATCCTTTGGGTGTGTTTAATCATATATGATTAAGCGTCTATGTGGTCAATGAAACATGTGTTTGATCATAATATGATTAAGCTTGTATATCATGCGTGTAATCATATATGATATTGAGACTTCTCGCATTCTCGCTAATGTTTAACTTCTCGTTTAAACCTGCCTATATATATATATATAGGGTTGGGTTTGATCTCAGCCTATGAACACACATATATAGGGATGGGTTCGATCTCAGCCTATGAACATTTTTAATGGATAAAGAGTAGAAGAAAGGTTAATGGATAATTAAAATAATTAGGGGCAAAAGAAGAAATGAAATATCCATGAAGTCCGACGCGCCATCTACGAATAATGTTCTTTCTTCTTTTTTTAAATTAAAAAAAGCTTTACCGCCTTAATTTTTAATCAAAGTTATCTTTAAAATAATTAATATTTTAACCAAACAAATTACATAACAAAAACAAGAATTTTATCTCTTCGATTTGACATCCATGACGATATTTATTTTCGTTCTCGTACTGATTTTTACATGAAATAGTGTTTGTGTAAATTAGGAATATTAATGTACGTTCATGCGTATACAAAGATTTTTTATTATTCATACATGAGTATGATATTTATCATTAATATATATTTTCACGATAGTAGTCATCTTAAATATACATACCATTCATCATTAGTGCATGTATGTGAACGTGTATACGACAACTTTCCAGTATTCATATGGTATGATATTCCTCATGAGTATACATTTTCACTCTAATATTCATCATAAATATACACATGAAAATTTATCATGAATATTTATGTATGTTCACATATATGCAACATCTCTACAGTATTCATATATTAGTATGATATTCACCATGAATATATATTTTCACTATAATATTCGACATGAATATACTATAGTTTCAGCCCTGCATACTCTAGTTTCTGTTTATTGGGTTCTCGAAGGTCTCGACCGATCTTGAAAGGTTTAAAATTGGTCTCAGTGGGTTCTCAGCCGGTCTCGAAGGAAGATGAAGGTGGTGGATTATGATTTTACACATTCAAAAAGTAAAAAACACACTAAATCAATCGACGGGTTCTTGATCGGTCTTGAAGGGTTCTCGATTGGTCTCGATGGAAGACGGAAGATGAAAGTGGTAGGTTATGATTTTACACACAAACACACTAAATCAATTGGTAGGTTCTTAATCGGTCTCAATGGATTATTTATCGGTCTCAATGGGTTCTTGATTGAAAATGAAGGTGGTGCATTATGGTTTTACACTCACAAACACACACTAAAAGTTGTCAATATAGTACTAACTTTCACGTTGAACATATAACATGGAGAGACATATATATATATATATATATATATATATAAAACTTCTTTTCATGATTATCATGGAACTATTGTTAGTGATGGTGGCTCACATTTCAAATATGAGAATTTCATTCTTCTCTTCAAAGATAAGATATCAATCATGAGGTTTCCGTACATGGGCAAGTGAATCAACAAGAAGATTAGCATTATTCTAGGAAACACTATTAGGCTGGATGATAACAATTGAATTTTATGTTTAGACGTTTTATTATGGCTATAAAGACTGGTACCAAAATAACTGAATGAAAGAAAACAGAATAGGGTTCCTGTAATTCGAGAAACAGGGTCTCCAATTGGTTTGAGACTAAAAATATATTTTCCTATTCCTCTCAAAACACCCAAGGCCCTATAAATAGCTGATCCCTAAACAAACCAATCCTAATTAAATAAAAGATAACTACTAACAATTCAAATAAATGACCCTAAATACAAAATAAGGATAACTAAATCGGCCAGTCGTATCATTGTCGTATCGGAATATCCCCTTATTTTTACATCATGTATACCTTTTATGTTCTCTTTGTGTGCATTGAGGACGTTGTTTTATGTTAGGAAGGTTTAGGTATTGTATGGCAACACTTTCACTTTGATGTTTTTCCATTACTTTCAAAAAAGGAGCAAAAGAGGAAGACAAATGGTGTTTAGCATTGGTATGTTTTAAAACCAAAACTGCTTTGCACGATTTTTTGCAAACACTCGCAAACTTGATTTTGATGTTTCTTTTGTTTACAGAAGTGATATACGACTATATGAGAACTTCATGCATAGTTCGATTTTGATGAAGTTGACATTTCAAAATCAATAAAACACAAATCATTTTCTTTTAATTTTCAGCTTTTTTCAATTAAAAACAAAATAGTCATGCAAAACACTTTTGCTTTCGCTATCAAATAGAAATCACAACCAGTAAACATTAGAAAAGTAATCAGAAGATTGAAAACACAAGTGTTGCTTAACAAGAGCTTAGTTGTTAGGAATAACAGGTTCACAAAGAGTGATTGAATGTCTGTAGGATATGATATATGTATATATGAAAGTTTTAAACCAAACTATGTGGATTAAATCCTGAAGAACGATATAGAAGCAAATAGTTTTGCAATTTATATTATTTTAACATAAATCTGGTACCAAAATTTGTTTCAATTCTTTTAAGTTGAATAATAACCTATAAGCAATGGTCTCAAAACAAATGTTTGGATTTGACCCTAAACTTATTGCCACAACAAATACACCATAACTTGAATTTATGTGTTGTCATTGCAACCACCATCAGCATTTTATCAAAGAAGGCTTTTAACTTTCAACTCCTCATCAATGTTTCATATCCTCCTCTACCGCCTATCAAGCCTCGCTCCTACCTAAAAGAGTACTTTGTAGCCTTTTACAAATCATTGGCGGAGTATTGAAGTTCATAATGTGTTTTTGTATGTCTCTTTATGGTTTGCACAACTTCTTTTTCTAACATAAGGTCTATACTTTCATCTCTTTCTCAAATATACAATGTTCAAACAACAGACCAAATTTCATGAAATAATGGTGATTAACTTTCTAACCTTGAATAGAGAGGCAATCCTGCAAAAATTATGCTTTCAAACCTTTAGATATGTGAAAACAAACCTGGGATAGAGTGGTAAAATGTGTCGTACACATGTTCCTTGTTTTTCATGAGGTAGGCTGCTTGTCCGCAATAGGCTAGAAGAAGGCAAGGGAACACAACAGTTGTAAATGCAAGCTGGATTGCTGAATGCGGAAAATGGGCAAGATCAGCAAATAATGCCTCCGTCCCTGTGCATGTTACCAATATAAATTAGTATACCCAATAAGTCAAAATTTCTAATTCCCGAGCTTAGTTTCCTAAATAATCAATTAACGGTTAAAATTATTTTCTGTTATGTTTTAGATATTTAGATTTTTGCTTTCAACAACAGCCAGATGTTACCCTATGTGAGAATATGTGGAACCCCCTGATCGCTCTCCAAAAGAGCCCTTAAGGAGAAAGGGGAGGTTCAACATATACACAGGAGAAACGGTCCAAGTCTAGCCACTGTGGGACTCCAACACTCCTCCAACGAAGGCTAGATGGAGACAGATTGTCCCAGGATGTCGAGAGGGGGCTAGCCGAGTGTTGAATCCCAAGGGTGGTAGACCTTGGCTCTGATACCATGTTAGAATATGTGGAACCCTCAGATCACTTTCCAAGAGAGCCCTCGAGTAGAAAGGGGAGGTTCCAATATATATGCAGGAGAAATGGTCCAAGTCTAGCCGATACGGGACTCCAACACCCTACACCAGTTTCAGGTTACCACCAGCTATTAGATCTTTGTCAGCAACCACTTGTCCTGTGGGACTAGAATCAACCAGTTGTATGCATTCCAACATGAAATATCACAGGAGATTACTTGGACCTGATTGTAATACGAGTTAGGAGTATCATTTGGGTAAGGTACTGAGGCATACTGTTTAGTTCCCACAAATCAGGTTTTTTTATGGAAGTCGACTGTCAGGAATTATTATATTGTGACTGCATCTGATTCTCCTTTCATCCAACCTATGTATATATCCATAGGGATATCATGAAGAAACACTAAGATCTCAAAATGATTTTCTTTGCTAGTTTTATATAGTCAGTTCTCCAACTTGAGGAGCGTTTGTTACAGTAGTTTTCTGTCGTATCTTTGTCACTTCATGTGTTGTGTTACAAGCTTTTGTAATGTGAACAATGTTGTTAGGGGTGCGTTAATCAGCAGGAGACAAACTCTCCTGGGTGGTTTCCAGAATCTTTCTAAAAAACAAGTGTTACCAAACGATACCTTAGGTTTTCCTTCCATTTTATACTTTCGGCTTCTGATCCACTATGTACTCTATTTGAATTCCCTCCATAACGGTTAGCCCAACCAATGCAATTTTGTTACAGACACATTGGGGAGAGAGAAATCACCTGTAATACTCAACATGATCCCTCCAAGTGAAGTCCAAGCATCTTCTCCTCTCCTTCTAAAATACCAAAATATATAAATGGGAGAAAAGGCCCGCAACACCATTGTGTCGTGTTTTAAAATGTTGAAAATTCCAATTCCTCCGATTAAGAGAAACCAAAGCAATACAATTGGAGCAAAGAACCATCCAACTTTATCAGGACCATAATGTTGGAGGCAAAACAAACCTACTAGTATGCAAACAGCAACAACTACAATAACATCTGCAAAAAAGAATCAAGTCATAAGCATATCATCATGTTGAAGAGAGAGAGAGAGAAGGAATCTAGATTCTTGCAACACAAAGAACAAATTATAGATGATATACAGTTTCATACTAGACATACCATTTCTCATCACCGGGTGGGCTACCTTGATACCGCTGGCGGCCGATAAAACTGGTAAAAACATATATGTTGATTAATGATTTTCATATAAGAAACAAAAGACAGACACTGATGGTGTAACATAGATGGACATGCATACATGAGTCTTTTTCTTTAACCAAGTAAAATCTGTGTTTTAGTGCACTCAAGTTTTTCACCAAAGCATATAAATAGCAACACTATGATATAACCAGTTTCCAGCACAGATCATGTAAGCTGAGGTATCATGAAATTCTTTATGTCCAACTGTGATCTATATGGATAATAATTACCATAAGATTAGATTTCATTATAAATAAAAAATTAAGATTAAAAAGACAACAAATAGTCAACTGTGACAAACATTTGACTGACGTCGTAATTTTTATTTTTACTAGTAAAAAACTATACCATATGTTGCTGGTAACTTGTAAGAAACAAAGTTTGGGTCTCAAAATGAAAACCGAAGGTCGTATTTTCCCTTGCTCTTTTAACTCAGAATGATGATTTATGAAAACGAAAGAGCTTTATTTCAACCACATTTAGAACTAATTGAATAAGAAAGACACGCCTGCACACCCTCAGATGGAGGGGAGAGGATAATTAATATGCTACCACCTCCGTAGCAAAATAAATGTCCCCCATGAAAAAGACATGGTTTTAGAAATATGTAATTATTACACTTTTTAACGAACTAAATGACAATTTTACCCTCAATAACAGAAGGAGTAATGAATTTACTCAATTTTATAGTTAAGGGTAGCTAGGATGGAAAGTAGACAATTACTTTCGGAAGTGGACACTTATTTTGAGAAACTAGAATAGAAATGCGAACACTTATTTTGTGACGGGGGAGTATCTTTTTCCTTATGCTACTACCAAAATATGGAACCATGATTCAAAAGACTTTAACATGATTCAAAGCTGATTCAGCCACATGACAGCAAAGGGATGGAAGTTGGCCACTGTGACATAGCTGATGACATTCAATTTATAAAAAGAATGCAAAGTGACAATAGCATTGACATTTAGTAACCAGTTATGATTCCGGTTCCTATTACTTCAACTGAGTGTGTGACAAGCATAGCTTTTTTGTGGATAACCCACTTCGTTTCTTTTTGTCCAAGTTGCTTCTTTTTTTGTCTTAACTCACTTCCTTTTTTGTTTGTCAGTTTCAAGAATATCCCCATTCATAGGTTCGAGATTTACATCTATGAACTGAAAGGTCCGTATGGTCCACAGTTTTTAGAATCAATAGGTCTTCAAATCGTTCATTTGAAAAAAATGAAACCCTTCTTATTGGATGATCATGAGACTTGCCAAAAATCGAAATTCTTGATCAATGGAGGAAAAATATCACCATTTTTGTTCAATAAGACACCAAAGTGGATGATTGACTCATTCTATAAGAAGGTCCCGTTGAGTTCTTAATAATAAATGTATCACTATAAAATCCATCAATAAGCACTAAATATCAAAGAATGATCAGCCAACCTTACCTGAAATAGCAGGAGTTAGAATTCCATCTCCAATGACCATGCAAGTACCGACAAGGACAAGTACAAGAAGTGCATTCTTCTTTAAAGCATGCGCTTCCAACCATCTCTTGGTCATTGCAGCAACTGAGTTCTCATTAATTGGGGTAAGACTATATGTTGTCAACTTCTCATCTGTTCGATGTTGATTAGGGATTGTTTTAACTTTTGCGTGCCGACACAATAGTGAGTAAAGAGCAAACGTTCCACCTGGATAATGAATGAAATTTATGTGGGGAGTTTGTCTACAAGAAAAATGACGACCATAAAGGAGTTTATATCCACCTCAAGGGGTAACTAAACTTCACATTACGTGTGCAGCGCCTGATTAGACCCTTCCATGCCCATTGTTGTTAACAAACTTGATATTGTGGAGAGATATTCTTCAAATATGTGTTTATTCTATTAGGTGAAACATAAGTAGAGTATAGTGGTGAGCCATGGGTTGAAATAATGACAATTGTAAGAGAAACATTAATTATTAAATATATATATATAAATTCAGAAAACTACCATATATTAACACTCGTTGGAGCATATTATATCAATCAAGCATATATATAAAGAGGATAGATCAGGGGAAAACCGAAAAAAAATGAAAAACTGAAGAACATACAAGTAATTTGTCACATTCACACATGCACAATGCACACGTGCATGAAGACCAAAAACCAGCTTCAATTACTTGTATGCACATGCACATACTGTCCAGATGAATGATTATTTGGGTGTTCCTCAGTTTTTCATTTTTTAGGGGTTTTCCCTTGAACCTTCCTCTATATATGTTGGGGGGGGGGGGGTAATTTGTGATCTTCGAAGTGGGTTTGTCACAACATCAAGTTGGAGCATACACATTGAGCATGCCTGATAGTACCCGAACCAGCTCGATAGAATGGGGTTCATGAGAAGTCCAGCCAGGCAGCCACCATCTCATGAATGAAACGAAGACCAACATGGTCTTCGCTTAAATTTCCTTAATGTCCACCTAGGCGTTAAGCGTCCCCTTACCAATTCGATTAGTTAGGGCCGCTTAATCAGCCTCGCAGGCTTAATCAACCTTCAACTGACTGTTGAATTAAGCGTTTCAACATATTGCAACAGCTTAATTCTCTATTCTGAACTTGTGTTTATCAATCCCCTTTCTCTATAGCAGGAGGCAATCTATTCAATCATATACAAGTAACCAAATCATTGGAACAATGAAAATAGTAAATTAGCAACTACCATTCTACCAAAATTATGTAGTATTGAGTTCTTACTTTTCATATGTATGCATAAATTCAATAATCATTGTAATTTATGTATTTAAATGAAACGCTTATGTTTTAGCTTAACTGCAAGTTTGATCCCTGCTTACAAGATTAAGCGCAAGGCCACTAGGCCACTTAACGGTTTTTAGAATACTCTCGGCCAACCTCAAATTGAATGGTGTGCTCGTAAAATACATCTGGTTTTTAGAAATACACAAGGAAACTTTATTGTCGAGAAACGCGGTACATTTTCGCCAAACCATGTGTGTCAAATGTTGTACTCAATACTCATGGAGAAACCACATCATATTTTGAGTTTTTCTTCTCTTTCAAAACACAGAATATTTTTACTGACAATATCACATGTGTGAGTGAGAGGCATACTTGAGGATGGAAGAACCAAGGATGTCCAAGGTTCTCCTACCATTCTTGAACACACGTTCCAATGACAAGTATCATGAACTTAGGCACATAGGCACCATGCATGCATGACCACTGCTATGTGTGTAGTGGATCTCCACCAATGCCTTCTCCAAAGAAGAGTCAAGAACATCCTAGAAGACACAGAAACACTCTTGGACAGTCTAGTATTCTCGATTGTACTATAAGAACTTAATGTATTCTAGATAATTCTTGGGTCATGTACACTTGGAGAGCAATGTAGCAGAACCTATAAGTTTCTTGATGGGAGGGATTGAGCCTCCTATAAACGGAAGACTCCCTCGTTAGTATCATCACTAATAAATTACAAAGCGTTTTGTGCTCCTTTCTTGTGTTCTCTTTAGATTTATCCAGTGCCTCATTTTAGGCATAAATTTTAACGTTAAGGCCGCACAGAGCTTGAGAAGAAATAAGTCCATGATGCAAGGCCATATGAGCATCCTGTTGTCACTTATATTATATTAGAAGAGAAGGGCTAAGGGGAGGCCCTTTAGGAGAAGTCTCATTAGTTGAGGAGTCACCATAACAAGCACCAAAGGGAAACTCGAAGCAAAACCAGCGTAAGCAAAAAGAGAGGTTTAGGATGGGATCATCACAACTTTATCGCAGGAATGCCCAATAAAATCGTGGTTTTGCAACCTAAGGGGTGGACACTTTTTCTAAGTTCCTTCAGTCCTTTTCCTAGCATAGAAGCAGCGGATATGGAATGCATGGATGATGTGCATCAAGTTAGTGTCCTAGTTGACAATCATGCTCCTTGTTTCGAATATGGCAGGTTATGGAATTTAAAGCATAGCAATCCTAAAGTCAAAGGTTTCATTCTGTTTCTAGTCCAGGTTCTAGTTTGTTGGTCAAAATTAGTATGTTCCTGCTCAGGTTAGGTTTCATTTTGTTGGTCAATCATAATCGTGAACTGATTTTAGGATGGTTCATCAAGTTATTAAGGCTTGCAGTTCAAATGTATTTGGGAAGACATCTTGCCATCATCGAATTAAATTGTACCTTAAGCGGATCTTTTGAAATCCTATTCAATAAAATTCCATATTTTGGCCTGAAAAAGGGGCATACTGAGTACAGACAAACCGATCCTCAAATCAGATGCAAATTTGCATGAACCATTTGTGGAAACAGTATTGACGCAGACTGAAGTCTGAAGGTCAAAAGATAACATTTTAGTCCAGAACTTCTAAGGAAGAACAAACAAAGAAGACTGAAATAAGAGTTGAACGTAAGCCCAAAAGGAACCATCTGAAGCTTTCCAGTAGTAATTTATTGACTTTGACATCAACCCTTGTAGAGATATTGTTGCTTTCCTACATATTTTTTAAGTCCATCCAAGATAATAAGATGAAGCATCGGTTAGTTATATTAATTGATAATTCCTTGTAGGTTTTAACTAATAGTTGGAGATTGAAACTTAGCAGATGTTGATTATCATTCACTTTGATAAAAACAAATAATAAAAATGGAGAAATAAGTGTACCTTGACCATTGTCATTTGCACGACAAACGATGAAAACATATTTGATGAGTGGCACAAGTGTAAGAGAGTATATGATCAAGGAAAGTGCACCAACAACGTCCTCAGTGTCATCAATTCCTTTAGGGAATGTATTGTAAAATACGTATAAGGGAGACGTTCCCAAATCTCCATAGACAACGCCAAGACTTTGAAATGCAAGTTGCACAAGCAGCATTGCAGAACATCTCTGTATCAACAGATAATATCAACAAAAGTTTTATAAATTCTGTAACTACACTAATCACACCATCAAAGTCATAATATTGTTATTTTTCTTTCTTCATCTTGGATAGTTTCAGCTTAGTTGCTAAGGGGCAATCCATTGAAAATCTTGAAGTGATTTCTACTCACCTAAAGCCATGAACCAGGAATGTATGTTTTTGATTAATCATCAAATATCCTGTGGACCACAATCAATGCTTTTAATATTTTGTAACGATCAGTCATGGAAAAAGATTTAATCACATTGGAGCTTTTTGTGTGGTTTTTCAAGGGACATCCCAAAATAGAAAATGTTATAAATTTTTTATGGGATGAAAGTAGTATTTAACCAAAGGACGTGTTTGATAACCATAAACTAGCTTATTTTTTAAGCTTATTGAAAAAATCCCCATTTCGTTAGTCATGAACTAGCTTATATGCTGGGTTTTTAAAAGCTACTCCAGCTTGAGGGGATTTTATCCATTTTCTTCAATTATGCTTTTATACTTTATATTGGTAAACTTTTAACATCCTTTTAGCTTATTTTTCATTGTCATCTAGCTTATCAACTAGTTTTTACTAAACATAACCAGCTTATAAGCCAACAGCGGGCTTATAAGCTAGTTTGCCAAATAGAGCCAAAGTCTGGCAACTATACGTTCTTAATCAAGAGAAGAGCAACAGTTTCAAGAATATCCTTCTGACCAAACCTCAAACGCAAAGAATAAAACCTGCAAGCTGAAAACGATGAATGAAGAACTACTCAGTTTTCTTTAAATCAAGCAAGTAAAACCAGCATATCAGGCAAATTTTATTAACGACTTGACATTAATCAACAAATGTCAATGCCAGTAAGCTTAACGCCTAATTCACAAATTCTCATATGTTCAATTGAAATTAACACATAGACACACAGAAGGTTCAACCCTAGTTCACAAAAAGCTACCTTTTCTGTGTGCATATTCTTGAGCCTGCTAGCCTCTTCATCCATGGGCTGATCAAACTTCTGCTGCAAATCCCACATTCCACCTTTGGCTGCAGACTCGGTGTTCTCATTCCCTTCCATCTCAATCACTTTTAGTTTCTCTCGAAAATGGTATCGCAAACTCAAAAGCAACTGAGCCAAACTGATCCCAAATTCACCTTGACCTAATTATCATTCGATCAAACACTCAAATCGAATAAAAATACACAAAATAGAACTTGATATCATCACTCTTCTAAGTGGGATCAATCAGCACTCACATCAAAAATAAAAACCGAACACATTCCTTCAATTATATTCCAATCCTCTGATCTGAAATCGAAATGCATTGACGGTATCTGAAATTGGTTGATGACAGTACCAAAATTCAAGACGGAGATGCGGAAGAACACGAAAAGTGAGGAAAGTGGAGGGAGTTGATGCGATTGAAAATTGTGATTTGAAATTGAAAGATTGTATTAGTTAGGAAAAACCTCAATGACGCCATGAATCATGATTACTCACAAATCAAAAAAGAGAGATGAGAAAGAAGAAGGCGATCGATTTGTGACATTTTCATGCAAAAACTATTACTTTTTTAAATTTTTTTTTTTTAAAAACTATTAGTAATAAATTATTAATATTTATTCAGGTAAGTGTTAAAACCGTATAAAACCATCTACACCGCGTAATAAAACGTGTTAGAACTTTTGCGGTGACTGTTTGTAGTATGCACTTTTACTAAACCGCACCGTAGGTTTCAGGTTAGCAAACCACGGTTCAAACCACATCGACATTATATGTGTGTGTGTGTAATTATAGCTTATATTGTGAACAATGTTTACTTCTTGAGTGACCTCGTGTATATAGATAGATATAAATAGGATTAGTACAAACTTACAAAGGTAAAAGTACATCCTACACTAAATACATATTTATTTACTAACATCGTTGTTGGTCACGAATAGGATGACAATAAACATAAATTAATTGTAGAAATGAGAGTTGAATACAATTACATAGACTTTTTTCAAATTTTTAATTCTTATTGATATATATATCAAGAATTAACACACAAAGATTCAATATAGATTGTTGCAGAAGAAGGAAATGATGACCTAACTTAAACAATCTTACACAAAAAAAAAACTTACAGGAACAACACATAGATTACTTGCAAGAAAATGAAAAACAGTAAGTTTTTCTTCACACAAAAGTGAATAGGAGAGTAGAAGAAGAGAGTCGACTGCCTTGAGAATGCACTTAGAAATTCTTTCAATGAAGTGTGTTTTGCATGGGAGATGCATACTGCCTTGTATACTACATTCATGCATTAAATGCATGAGACACTTGTCACTTGAGGATAAAAAGGCAGGGGTTGACTTAACCATTGTTGGTATCTCATTTTCATCCTATACCGCGAGCATACAACACTGTTCATACAGAGACAAATTTTTGCAGAGATATGGTCAGTCTGTAGGAAGATCTTCTTTGGATGGATTAGTAGCTTCAACAGCTACTTACAAATCTTTGGTGCAAGAAGATCTTCCTTTAATCGGCTAGTAGCTTCAAAACATCTTCAATCTTCAAATCAGCTACTTTGGAGTCTTGATGTGTAATTTAGACAGTTGATCCATAATACCACATCAATGACTTTCTATCTTCACATCGGTTAGTCTTTGATTTTTCCAACGGCTTTAAGTATGTACCAAGAAACCAATATACAAAGAAGTCAATAACTACCAATTGTTGATAGAATAGAGGAACAGATCAATGAGCCATCACCAAATCAATAGGTGGCCTAACAATATCCTCCTATTTGATGATGATACAAGAAAAATACAAGATACACAAACTCTAAAATTCTTTGAGAAAAATAACTTAGAAATTCTGTGACTCATGTGTATTCTTTTTGGGTTATTTTCTTTTTCTTTTGTTTTTTTCAATTGTAACATATATACAAAACAAATAATGAGTCAAAGAATGCAACAAATAAATAATGAAGAAAAATTTGAAGAAAATACTGAAATATAAATATCTATATGATAAGTATCAATTTATTTGATACTTTTACACTTTTTCTTCACTTTATTTACCCATTTTATTTTTCCAAAATTCCACAAATTGAGTCTTTTTGTTTTATTTTTCTACTTTTTTTATATTAGAGCTAAAATGATGTGATAAACATGTTTACTTCTTGGATATGTGCTGATTTTTAGAAAAATAGCCTTGTTGATAGGTATTTGACTGAAGCATGCTGCAACATGTGTTGCAGAACGATCCAGGGGCACTTTTGAGAATAGTACGAGAATCTTTTGAGGTCACTTCTTCCCTTTTTGGCAGCCCATCTCCTGCAGATTTCAAGATCTCATAGTACAAATTTAAGATCTGATTTTTGTTATTATCTAGGTGGTTTGGCTTTACCCATTGAATTATGTAAAAAAGTTTGATAAAGCCTTTACCCTTTGGTCCTTACCCTCCCTTCTTTCACTATATAAAGGGGGGAGGTTTGGCTTTGTAAGTAAGCAATTTGGGATGTAAATAATCTAGTGAAACACTTGAAGTAGTTTGTGGAAGGTTCTTTTGATATAAAGTTGTAGTTACAAGTATTTTTATTTTTCTTCTTTATAATTCTTTTTTTACATTTATTTCTCTTATCATCTTTTTTTCTCTTAAGCTCTCCTTATTATGCTTTATAATTTATGCAATCAATATTATTAGTTAAAATATTTTAAGTCTTTTTTACAATTCCCTCTTTACATTTATTTCTTCTATTTTCTCTTCTTCTCTTGTGTTATACTTATCATGTTATATTATTATTTATGCAATTAATTTTTCTATTTCAAATATCGTTAGTCGCTTTTATAATTCCGCCTAGTATTTATTTCTTCTATTTTCTTTTCATTTCTTATGCTTTATTATTTACGCAATTAATTTTTCAAGTATGTTACGCTAAAAATATAGCTTGGGTGTTGGGTGAAGTTAATATAAAGACCGATTCCGTTTGTAGAAATATAAATTATAAATCTTTACAACTACGTCATTCAAGTTTTATTTGCAAAAACATCATCCATGGACAAGTTGATCACTTGTTTAAAAGTGTTAAAGTGTGTTGGATTTAGAGATAAMCCAACAAGCACACGTCAACTTGAATGATATGGAAGTAGGCTCGAGAGAGTTACTTAGAATCGAGGAGACTCGTTTTCGCTCCATTTAGCTTATAAAATGTATAGTTTGAGCCAATGTCAAGACTCCAGCCTTGCATAGAGATATGAGGGCTTGATCTATGACTGTGTGTCATTCTACATCTCGAGAGAGTACCTTAAAGAAGCTATTAGTTGTAAAGATAAGTTATTTATAAAGCATGCTATAGAACCATGCTGTAGCATGCTGTCTACTTTTAAATCGGTTTAATATCTTAACGAATCCCTACACCCTAAGCTCTCTTTTATTACTTGTTCACAACAGTAGTGTTTAATCAACYCACCACAAATATTTCCTCGAATTCACCATCTGAAATCATATCTTTATTTATACTATTAAAACRAAYTTTTATTCCTTTTTCTCCGTGGACGATATTGGTATTTTTACCACTTTATTACTTGTAAAGGACGATAGTGGATTGATGAGTGTATACTTGCACTAGTCTCCATTTGTTAGCAGTCTGAGATATTTATTTTATATAATTCTCGTAACACCATACTAGACATTGAACTTAAATACATAAAGTGAAGAAGATAGTTCAAAAAGAAGAAGTCACGTAGATAGATCAGCTAGCAGTCATCATCTACTTAACATTTGTATTTGTGGCTGCAACACATGCTCCAACTGTTGAGTCAGTACAATGTGTGTATTGTGGTGGAAGACATCCCTTTGAACATTGTCCATCTAACTCTGAATCGGCTAATTATCTGGGGAATCAAAATAGATCAGGATCATTCTCTTAAACATACAATCTTGGGTGGTGACAACACATAAATTTTTCATGGCACAGTCTTGCTCTAAACCCACCAATGAACAAACCCCAAGGGACTTCACAATTCCAACCACCTCAGTCTCAACACCAACTTCAGGGTCAAGCTCCAAACCATCACCAAAATGCTTTTCATCAACAAACAAATCATTCATCTTTCCAAAACAAGTCTAACCAACAAGCCGAATCTTCTACTTCTTTGGAAGTAACTCTGAAAGGATTCATAAGCCAAACCAATACATCCATGAACCATCAGAACACTGCCATAAGATCTCTAGAAACACAAATTAGTCAACTTGCACTTGTGGTAAGAAATAGACCTGCAGGCACTCTTCCTAGTGATACAGAGATTCCAAAGTCAATCATGAAAGAGCATGTGAAGGTAGTAACTTTAAGGAGTGGAAAGAACCTCATAGAGAGTGAACTATGAAAAAGTCTGTTGAACCCCAGGACCCAATTGAGATGGATGTCACAACATTTAGTTCATATATTGTCACAACCACTTTGAGAGATAAGGAAAAATCAATAGAAATAGGACCACTTCCTGAGAAAACAGATTTCCCCTTGTTATTTCCAAATGAAGGAAAAAAGAAGGTATCATTTCAGAATGATATTGGAACATCTTCTTCTGAAAGTAACAAGAATGTTGAGTCACTAGTCCCTCATAATGAACCTATCATCATCCAGGCATCCCCTAGTCAGTCCTCTAAGAAACCAGTCATAGCTCCTATTCCTCCTTATATACCTTTTCCACAAAGGTTGAGGAATCAGAAAGAGGAGTTGCAGTTCAAAAATTTCCTTGATGTGTTCAAACAGCTACATATTAACATCCCGTTGGTTGAAGCTATTGAACAAATGCCAAGTTATGCAAAATTCCTCAAGGACATTTCCTGCTGACTTCATCATTCTTGATTTTGAAGCTGATAAAGAGACACCAATCATCTTAGGAAGACCATTCTTAGCAACCGGTAGGACTTTGATTGATGTTCAGAAAGGATAATTGACTATGAGAGTGAATGATCAGGATGTCACTTTTAATGTTTTCAAATCCATGAAATACCTGGATGAAAAAGATGAGTGTTCTAACTTGAGTGTCATTGAGTCCTTGTGCCACAAAGAGGGAGTTAAATCTATGTTAGACTTAAGCAAGACTGAAGTTGTTGAGGAGATAGAACATAGAGAGGAAAGTGAGATAATCCTGTTGCAAGATACCCTTACTTTTGAGATATTAGAAAGTGAGAGTGAAAAGACCCATGCCACATCTATTGAGTCACCACCAGACTTAGAGTTGAAGTTACTTCCCTCACACCTGAAGTATGCATTTCTAGGAAAAGAAGGGAGATTACCTGTCATTATCTCATCCACCCTAGAAACACATCAGGAAGAGCAGTTGGTAGACTTGTTGAAACTACACACCAAGGCTATTGGAAG